GGAAGAAATATCAACAACCTCAAATATGTAGATGATACCACTCTGATGGCAGAAAGTGAGGAGGAATGAAAGAACCTCTTAATGAGGGTGAAAGAGGAGAGTGCACAAAAATGGTCTGAAGCTCAACATCAAAAAAACTAAGATCATGGCCGCTGGCCCCATCACCTCCTGGCAAATGGAAGGGGAAGATATGGAGGCAGTGACGGATTTTATTTTCTTGGGATCCATGATCACTGCAGATGGTGACAGCAGCCACAAAATCAAAAGACGCCTGCTTTTTGGGAGGAAAGTGATCACAAACCTTGACAGCATCTTAAAAAGCAGAGACCTCACCTTTCCGACAAATAGGAGTTTGGTAAGTGAACTCCTCCCTAAATTCTGGGCCTACTCTATGCATTCCACCCACTCCTCTCAGTCCTTGAAATTAAAAACTGTGATACCTATGGAGGCCAAAGGAGCTGATACTAGAAACCATGCTTTCTCCCTCTTAATCCTCAGGGACCAGAAGGAGGTGTTGTGGGGGGGGGGAAGCAAACAAGAGCAGAGCACTTAACAGTAGAATACAGTCATAAGTATCAGGAAGCAGTTTTTTTGAATACCCAGAGCTGCTTGTAGAGAGCTTATCAGCTTCCCATGGGACTGGACCTGGAAATGCTCCCAAGGAGAGCAGGATCTAAAACACTATTATGGTTCAGGCAGCTGGCCCTCTCCTCCACATTCTGGTATACAGTACTCACGCACCACTGATGTTTGCGCATGTCTGTAATTTGTTTCTTTCTGATGCTGGCACCATCGAATGGCTGTTGACTTCTGCCCCTGGCAGCCTTTGTGGGTATCCCACATACAAAATTTATCTTTGTCTCACACAGAATCTAAAATTCCATTTTACCTATCTAGCAGTCTGACTTTATGAGCTTCACAATTCTAATTGCCTGATGGAAAGGTCTGGAAAACTTGACTTATTCATGGCTTTTCAGTGACCGAGTGGGGGACATAGAAGGTGCCTCCCTAGAAGAGTGGAAAAGCATTATGCTCGGGCATCCCTTTGGCAATGGTGTGCATCCAGCAAATCCTTCACTTCCAGTAGTGTTGCTCTAGAACAGCACCAAACCCACCTACTTTGTGGACGCCGACCCCCTGGATATTGACCAAGGTTGAGAAAAATTTTCTGTACATATGTTAAATTCTGACTGCTTCCGGTCCAAAATAGTGAGATTGTCTTGACATTTGAATTGGCTTTTGAATTGGCCTATATTTCATGTGCATCCATGATTTTGAATTGTGCAAGAAAGAAAGAAAGAAAGAAAGAAAGAAA